ATGAGATGTAGACGCACCCGCCAGAAGAAAGGGCGAAGTTGTTGCAACAGCTCAACAAAATTGACCAAGCCCTGGTTGACGCGTGCCTTCCCTTTGAGCTCAACAAGTACCCTCTCCGCAAAAGGGAACAATTGGGTTTGGAGCTCATCGGGAACAGCAACAGTGGCCCAGGGAACATGATAAGCCTCCCCAACGTAGAAACCTGCCAACGCCGTAACCGCCTAATGACTAAATGAGTTTCCCTCAAGGAACAATTGGCCTAAAGAAAACTTACAGACTTTGGAATCTTGGCGGAATAAACCTCACGTTGAACGGTACTTGCCCAGTGTCCGATGGCACCAATTTCATCCATTGTAACACTAAAAATGATGAGCAGCAGCTGGCACACAAATAAGTCATGACGTACCCCATCTCTTCAAGGTGGGTAGGGATAGTCTTGCGGGCGAGGTGGAGCTTCTTTTTCGATTTGATGGATGTCGATTCAAGGAATTTTGTGTACATTTTTCGGAGGGCATCATCACCACAGGCCTTCCCCACTATTTTTCCAAACATAAGCTTTACCTGATAGTTTGGTTTAGTAAGGAACAACATTGATTTCAGATGAGGGCAGACTTGCCTTGCGCCAGGTCAATGGGTAAGACCAGTCCCAACCCTCAATCTTCTCGCACACATTCTCCTGGTCAAATATGTAATGCAAAAGGATAGCAAGAGCTCCAACAGAGCAACGAAGCGGATTGCGGTGTGGCAGCACGAAGTTGTAGTCCAGTTCCTGCTTCTGTTATCCTCATCTCAGTAAGATATAAAACCAACAATACAAGTAAACTACAGACTCCTGGCTTCGAGACCTTTGTCTCATGATAAAGGGAAAGTACACCAAAATAATATTTACCGACACCGCAGTGTCGCCCGTCAGGTGTTGTATAGTTAGGAACAAGCAGGGAGTGGGGTTGAAGGCAGCTGAGCAGCAGATTGATGAGCTCATCGCCACGGTTGAGAGTGGTGCACTGCCAAGTCCAGCTAAAATGTGCTTTGATGACTGATGGGACTAGTGAGATAATGTCGTTAGCGATGGTAGAGAAGACATGTAATGGAACTCATGTTGATCAAGCTTCATGAAGATAGTGGATGTGATCTCCTCGAAGTGCACAGCATGCAGCTGTGAGTCCAGTATCGTGTTTTCACTGATGTCGAAAAACTCGTCTCTGGAAAGTATAGTTATGAGAAATGGAAGATGTAGGTGGGGAAAACTGACTTACTCAAGGCACAAGCATTGGGATTCTACCATAAGAGCCTTGTAAAAATCCTGGCTTCTCGATGTAGATGTGGGCCGACGTGCTTGCAGGGTAGGGTCGTCGTTGCACTGTTGCCGCCAAATGCGGCCAAGCATGGTCATATTCTTTTTCAATGATGACTATGGCATGAATATGTCAGTTAATGAGGCTCAAACAAAGACTGGGGTCACCGACCGATGATAAGCGTGCCGGGCCCTCCTTTGGGTGACCTTGGGTTGTAAGGAGGCTCCTTGTTGCAACATACTTGAGGTATTCCATGGTGTGGTTGGCATCGACGATGTGGTCAGGGATCATGCCTGCGGCGATCACTATGGGTACCCAGTGCTGCCGTGCAGGCATTAGTGATGTCCCCTTGCATAAAAACTGATAAAAAACATACACGCCACAGAGAGAGCATGCTCTTCTCTGTTTGCTGCCCACTTTTTCGCCTTGTGTCCATGATGTATGCATCAATCTAAAACTGGTCATGATCGGCAGGTAGAAGCTTGAGGCGGAAAGTGTGTACCCAAGCTTTCGAGCTTTCTGTGCCTGTGATGAAAGGGGATGTTACTCAAGACGTTGTGCTGGATGAAACTGAACTCACCCAACGTATCGATCTCCATAGAATCCTCGCGTGGTCCATTGTCACCTTCATCATCACTGTGGTCATCCTCATCGTCGCTCTCTTCACCCAGACCATTGTCTGTGTTCTCGAATCTGGTTGAAGGACTCTTGCATCGCTTTTGCGACGTTGACCGTTTGGTCCGTCCCAGCAACAACGGCGCCTGCAGCTGACAGACTGGGGGTCTCTCTTTCTGTCTGTTGGCTCTCGTTACTGCTTGGTATCCTTCGTTAACATGAATTGACTCCTGCACAGAAGGCCGAGACGATGTACCTGGGTTTGGGCAAGCATTGCTGGTCATGCTTTTCAAGCCGCTCAACAAGCTCGCCCTTCTTCCCACTGACCTTGAGGTTCTGCTCACGGCATAGGCTCTTTAGAGCAGGGACATTCAAAGAATAGCTGTAGAAAGTAAATAAATCAGCAAATATTCAGTACTAACCATTGTGGTGCTTACTAGAGTTTTTTTGTGCTCTTCTCATTTGAAACCTGGCCTGCATGAAAACAAGATGTGAGCTCCCATTGAACAATGTACCACGGCACATTGAAGGCTCTTGCCTTGTCCTTTTGAGGTTCTTGCTGGTCCACTGGCAGGCTGTCTCAATGGCAAAAGCAGGGCTGAGGGGAAGGAACAAGGTTTGAACGCATTCAAAGAGCGCTGATGCCCAACGCACCTTCTGCTTCGGGAACGGCTGTGGCGATGCTTTGGGAAGGTGCAGCTACAGATGCCAATTTTTGATGGGCAGACTCTGGAAAAAGCACTGGATCAATGTTGAAGTTGTCCGTCTGCTGAGGTCGTTGTCTGGAAAGCGGAACGAGGGCGTGCTCATGAGTGTATGACATGACGACGAGGACCTTGGAGTGGAGAATACTAATAATAATATTTATTGAATTATCTAGATAGTATGCTAAGTCAGCGGGAGGACTTGGCCTGGTGATTTCCAGACCCTAATCCAAGTCACAGTTTGATTGTGATCTGCCAGCGAGATCACACACCCGAATTGTGATCTAGGGCCAAGTACTTCGCTTAGGGTTCTTTGATCCCAAAATCGTGAATTTTCCCAATTTTCCTCTGGACAGAATTTCCCAATTTTCCTCCGGATATGGGATCAGACATAGGAATTTCCCAAAATTTATCCGGACATTACCTCAGGCATGGTGTATGTTTGATTTTTTTTTGGCTGCGCAGGTAAGGTTCCTGGCATCCAAAGACCTTGAATTTCGATGTAACATGTCATACCCAATCTTCTCTCATTTTCGTCTTCATCTGTTCCCATTTCAATTAATTCACTCAAAATGGGGGAATATTGGGGGAATATATTCACTTTGTCCCATTTTTATCCGGACTGAGATCAGGCCCCCCTTGGCTTAGGCAGTTTTTATCCCGACATTCTCAAGCATTTGTCTAAATTTCTTCGATTTTCCTCCGGATAGGCCTGATGCCTATCCAATTTTTTTTCAACATTTCCTCCGGATATGGATCAGGGATTTGATACCAATTTCCAGGGTCCTTCTGACACCCCTTGCCCGAAGGCCCCCGACCTGCAGTACGTTTGATTGCCGATGTGTCATTCCAGGAACGTCGACCTCTCACGGCTCACTTTCGAAATACGACAATAATCATCAACTGGCAACATCTTCACCTCCATCGTCCCAAACGTCCCGTCATGCGTACTTGGTGCGAAGAAGCGATTTTTCTGGGCATCGTAACGATCTGGACAGTTGTCATTTTGGGTTCGCCGGTACGTTCACTCTATTCCCATCCTTTCTTAACTGACTAATACTGTGGATAACTATTAGGGGGAGTCAGAGTGGCCGGTTCAGCGACGATTCAGCAAACGGTTCAGAATCGATTCAAAGATGTTGAATTCTTGTCTGAACCGTGGGAACACACTGAATCATCACTGAACCTGAACCGACGGCGAAGCGCCTCGGGAGGCGCTTCACCGTCGGTTCAAGTTTCGGTTCTACGTTGGTTCTGCCTCCTTCGCACATAACTCCCCTTATCAATTAGACTTTTATTTATTTCTCCTTGAAAATACGTTTCAGATACTCTTGAAATATTTCCCTGTAAATTTCCTGCCTCGGTATCATTGTACTGACCACCTACTTAGGCTACTTTTACATTTGTCCTCACAAAAATGCTGTCTTAATTTTCTGATAGCTGTTGATGCACAAAACCTCATGTAATGGAGTCCGTTGTCAAGCTTTTAAAGAAGGAATAATATATATGTATCTAAATCTTCATGGAACATAAATTTGGTGGTCAGAACCGGCGTGAAATAGAGTTTTGAGCCTCAGCTGAACCGGGGGGGACAGAGTTAGACCCGGTTCAGCGACGATTCAGGCAAAAAAAAAAAAATTTGAATCGTCTTTAAACCTGATCTTGAATCGTTGCTGAACCGCCGTTGAACTGGCCACTCTGACTCCCCCTATTGATTTAGAGCGACGATCTGCAACGGCCATGCGGAATTATGTACCCGCCGATACTCCAACGTCACGTTTATGGGAGCGCACGACTCATTTGCGTATAGCATCGACCCATTAGCGGTATGAACTCAAGGATTCTTGAACCGTAACATATGCGTTTCTGACGTTCGGATCTCGTCCCTCACAGTCGCAAGAGATCAAGAGGTCGATATCCCGACCCAGCTAGCTCTTGGTGTTCGGCTATTGCAAGCGCAAGCACACCTGCACGTCATTGCTTTCATTGCCTCTACTTTTTAAATCCTCGCTCATCCACTCAACAGAAACAGGAAGGGGGTTTTCCATTTTTGTCATACAAGTGCGTTCCTTGATACCTATTATGTATCCTCCTCTATTGATATTTGAGGCTGCGTAGGTGACCAATGAGTCCTCTTGCGGGACCGCCTTACATATTTTTTATCGTGGCTATAGTATCTTTTCGACGGTGGCAGCGTGGCAAATTATTTAAAGAAAGTTAAGACCTTTCTAGACGCGAACCCCAATGAAGTGTTGACCCTTCTTTTTACTAACCCGGAGGGGTTGTCTGTAAAGGACCTATGGAAACCGGCATTTGACAACTCGAGTAAGTCATCCTCTGTCTTTAATTATTTCATCAGTAACTCCGGGCAGGTATTACCCCTTTAATCTACATCCCCCCAACCATTCCCCTCAAACAATCAGATTGGCCAACCCTGGGAGTGATGATCGACAGTGGAAAGCGAGTGTTATCTTCATATTGTTAGGTTCTGTAAAACTACACCAAAAAAAAAAAAAAAACAAGGGTAAAACACAGTCAGTATCGCTACAAGAATGTCCAAGGACCTGATTAGATAAATGAACCTAAGAACACAGGCCGAAAATAAGATGAAAAGGGCAGGGAGATACATGGGTGTAAAGGAAAGGAAACTTCCAAAACCCCGTCTATCGTGGCCCTGGTCTATCCGTGGATAATATGTCCCGGAGGATGCTGGGTCGGCTCGCCAACATTCGGTAAATATGACCCCCACTCTTCTAGTCTACAGAGCAAAAGTAAAAATGAGTACTGAGACGAGGAAACGAAAACGTACGCAAACCCAGTCGGAGCGCTAGACCACGTCGACATCAAATCTGGGTCGATGTGCGGAGTTTGTGGTTGTTCGGCATACTTGTCCACAAGCCTAAGATGTGAACCATGCACCATCCCATCACCGCCCAATGACTGGCCCCTGTACATCCCCATACTATTCACCGACAGGGCGGAGGCGGCATGTGAAGCTGTGCTTGATATTTCGGGGGCAGCATAGGATCCCCCACTTGGACTCGACGACCTGGTGTAGGAGCTTCTATTTGATCTCGTGGGCGCAACATAGGAACCTGTGTCCGAATCAAGCGCCCCTGGATAGTAGTTGTGTGGTGCGGAGGGATTGTACGTCGCACTCGAGCCCGTTGTGTCCATCAAACTCCCAGCCCCACCGCCAATCACACCATATCGCTGCGTTGAGGATTTTGTTTCGGTGACAATGGGATACCGGTAGCTGAAGGTGGAGGAAGAACTGGACGTGTCAGAGTTGTCGATTATTGCAGAAGTAACGTTTGTGGTCGTACTCCCACTCCCCGCAAGCTCGGTTGAAGGATACCAGTAGCAGTGCGACTGATAGTCAAGCAGTGACTGTCCGGTCATCGAAAAATTGCCGTGCGGAGGCAATGTTACGCGTTCGCTGCTGTACATCAGCAGCCTATAGCACTCCGACGGCTGGGGTGGCTGAAAACTATCCGATGAGCGCTGTGCGTGTAGCGGTCTGTGCGCCTGCGATAACTGCGGAGGAGGAGGAAGAAGTCGAAGTTGGTCTTGCATTTGAAACTGGTCTTCTTGAGCGGCAGAACGCGTCTCTTGTGGCAACGGTAGGTGTCTCATGGGTATGGGCACATGCCTGGTCACGCGTTGTAAATCAGAAAGGTTTCTTGGGACGTCGCTCGGTGATGGGGCATCATCCTTGGGGGGAGACAGAGATGCCATAGGGGCCTCAGAATCCCGTTCGCGCTTGTTCGCAGGTGGACTAGGCTCTGGGAGAGGAAGGTCTCCGATGTACGTTAACTCGTATAGGATATCCCTAAACCAGAATATATATATGAGAGCACAAAGAAGGGCTGGAGATAAACATACCAGAAGCGACCTGCTAAATGCCACCGGTCCTCGGACCTCCTTAACATCCCCATGCATTTGTAAACATCTGACATGTCATTATTCGGATCTATTGACAATCCCGAGCGCTTCCCTCTCCAGATGCTCGCCAGCAATACAATCCCAGATGTGAATGCAGCGAACTAGTAGGGCAATTAACGTCACCCGCGATTATCAAATGCAGAGTGATACTTACCTGAAATAGCGGCGGAGGGATAAAATTCCTCTTCTGCAGAATGTCAACAATATTGGTACATGACCTTGCGGCATTCGTGCAGATGACCAAGGAAGGGAATGGTGATGGTGACTGCTTGTTTTTCGATGGGATGAATGGACGATGGACAAGAATCTGGATGTGATAGTAGGTCCCGTATAAGACGATAGATTGCTTGAAAAATCTACCGTCTTCACGGTTTGGATCCCAGCGCACTTTAAAGTTTGAGCGTATCGTGAATATCAAATTGAAGGGAGCGATGGCATTACGTACAGTGATTTGGGACTGAGTCCACCCATTTGTTGAGAGCCGAGTCAAGTTCCGCCACTACCTGCATCTCCCACTGAGGGCCGACTAAGCCAGATAAGCTTTTGGACTTATTGATCGAATACTGCACAAAGTGAGTGTTTAGTGTTGCAAAGATAGCGTCCGATCAGAAAAAACTTACGATGGTACGCAACGCAAAGCTTGCAATCTGGTGTAGCTTGATGTCGAGAATGAAATAACTGATAAGCGAAGGTTTATTTGCGGGTTGCTTGAAACGCTGCGAAGGATCAGGATGTTCCCAGTATTCGTCATCACACTCAATGGGCATGTCAAGGTCAAAGCTGGAAATTCAACCTCAGCATTAAGAATTCCAAGTACGGAGATAAGACTTACTCGTCATCTTGAATTGCACAGGGGCGACCAAGAGCAGTGCTCAACCTCCTGTCCAGACAGACCAGAAACCTGCGATGCATGGCTTGTCAGATTTAATTTGTGATGTCTGACGTGGGCTAGTACCAGAAGGCGCGCTTCCACAGCTCGTCCTCTACGGTCATCACATGGTCCCGTGCTTTACGCCTATGTGCGCCTACCTCCTGTGCCAACCGGATACCAATGCCAACCATGGACCAACATGACTGAGGAGCAGAAGAGTCTTTCAAGAACATTACCGAGAGCTGGAGAATACGTTCAGATGAATAACAGATGAGAAAACGGTAACTTACACAGTAGAATTGCATGTCGTACAGTGAAGGTGAGACTAAAAGCGACCTAGCTGTCTGTACTTGCTCAAACCACTTCCAGCCACGAGAATGAGGTGAATTCTGTCCTTCAAGAAATACTCGCGGATCCTCTGAGAACCGTGATCCGATTGCGCAGACGAGGAGAAGAGTGCATGCAAAGCCAGTATTTGTGAGATGTAGATCTTCTGCAACGGATCTTTCAAAGGTTGGCCTATGAAGGATGGCTTGATAGAGATTGAAGTGCAAAAAAAAAGCGTCGACAAGTTGCTCCATGAGATCCCGATCAGGAAATGATTGTATCGGTGGGTTGTCTGTGCCTCCAAGGCATTTTTCCCACTACAAGATATGAAACAGATCGCTAACATGGAAAAGGCAGGATGAGACGAACGGGTTGTGGTGCACAAAACTCAAGACGCTTGTGGCCAAGAATCATTGAAGGAGGGGCTTTGAAGTTGTCGTTGCTCACGTACTCACTCTTGAGCTCCATCGCGGTCTTAATGAGACTAGCTCCACTTGATTTTCCGAAAAATCTGTCTTCGAGCTTGTCACTGGGCCTAGAGTCGATGCCACGTTTCTTCAGGTTTTCTACGAGAGTTGAAGTAACAAAGTCTTCGTCTTGCTGGTCGGCGTCGGGTTCACCGACCCTACTGATGTCGGAGGTGGCTACATTGACAGCGCGCGGCAAGGAGGCGGAGCTACAGACTTGCTCTGCTTTCGCAGCGGCGTCAGGGGAATGGCTTTCTCGGTCTGTGGCAATGTGGAGCTCTTTCAAAATGTTCTGGTCTGGGCATAACTAGTCGAAATGGTTGGGTTAGGTCTTTTGAGTGGATTTTTCAACTTGCGTACCCTCCGCAAAACCTCTTCCAGCATTTCCACGCGACGTTCCAAGCTTTCCACATAACTAGAGGGGGAATCAGACTTGTGAGTGGGAGAGTAGGGGGATTTCCAAACCCCTTTGAAGGACCTCGTTTCTAAACGTCGAGAATTAACGACCAGCGAAACATACCCATGGACGAGCTCACCTTCGCTTTCTGAACGTATGTACAATCGAAACTGCACGTTATACAATTTAAACAGCGATTTCCGGGCATTTGGACTCCGTCGCCTGATGAAATATTAGTGATGAAATATCGAGGGGAGGCCACTTATTTGCATACATCGGACTAAAGGTGACGAAGCTTAGGTCAGTGGCTAAACAACCGATAGACACTGACACACTTTTCTTGGTCCTGCAGATGTCACATGCTCGTTGTATCCTTCGCCTCTTCTGATTTTGAGGCAGACCAGACATGTTGTCCTCGTTGAAGTCCTCACCTTCGGACGACATGGTGATGGTGCGTAGGTGAAAATCGGATGCAAGGATGGAAGGCTACAGTTGCGGACAAACAAAGTCATCCAATTTGATTGTGGCACGAACCATACCGATCAACATGATCGGTTCTCGCGATCATCGATCATCCTGGTTTGGCATTGCAGACTCCGCGCCACGTGTACGAAAGGAAGTTGGATTCTACTTAGATCCGGGGTCGCTCGAAACATCACTTTCTGTAGCTTTGCCAACCCACAGGGAAGTCCGAGTGTGAAGGAAAATGGACTTTGGGTGGATTCAGATTCGACCCTTCCATATTTTTGGTGAGCTATTGGTTTCGCGCTCTCCTCGGAAAACCTGTATTATATTGTTAAAATTCAAAAAGCTCGCGTTTTCCCGATTTGACATTCAAGCACCATACTTGTAGTAGTGTCGTTAGCCACTGCAATTTTCAAAAATTATGCCATTAGCCTTGTTTAAATCAACCCTGCGCACAATTAAAAGCGCCTATCGTGACCCTTTCCTTCCCGTCCAATTTTATAAATGCCGATCTCTTGAGGCGAGATAGGACTTTGCTGGAGAAGACCACTCGTTCGCTCTTTATCCAACCTTGGGAATTTATAAACTGCGGTCATGGGACTTACCTCCCATTCCTAGGAGTTTCAAAGCTTTCTTCTCGTTTTTTTTGTGGGTCTTCTGCTCCAAGAATGGAGGCCGTTCGAGGTCGCCCGTCGTCTCAGGAGTTTAATGTCAAAAGTTCAGCTTGTGACCAAGTTGCTTCCTGCTGACTTCCATCCGTATAAATTCTGTTCTCGTTTCTACACTTCTTCCCTGCCCTGTAGAAATCACAGTATGGCGCGGACCGCGGTGCCGCGCATTAACCACATGGGTGGGTCTGATAACGTCAAGACTGAACCACCACTTTCGGGTGGTAAAATGGGGTACGCTCGTCTTCCGCTCTGAGTTTTACGCGGGGATTGTTCAATGGTGCAGATTTCCTCTTTGCTTCGATGGCGCATCAAGATCAAGGCGCACACAAAAGCTCTTTCGTATTTAAGAAAAATTGAGTTTCGGAACATGATTGAAATCACTCCATAAATTTCTTTGCGGGGGAAATCCTTCCGCTTCCTCCGATTGAGACAAGTAGCGAGCACCACTGAATAGCGATGGCGATTCCGAGCACGCCCCAAAGGTATTTGGATGCTTTTCGTTGCTTCTGCGGAGGAATGTGATGCATATATACACATATATATATGTATACCAGCTCTAATACACGTTCCACGTTAGCACCCACACACGATGAAGAACACATTGACCCCTGCAATTCCAGCTGCTCACAAAGCGAAATTGTGACCATAATGTTGTCGATCTTTCAATATCCGACTCATTCGGACATGAAATTGATTTCCCACTGAATTCAGATTAAACGGGTTGCCAATA